CTTATACCTGAAGCCAGGGCAAGACACCCATGCTTATAAACCTGACCACTCTGCTTGGCCCCTCCTGGCCTTATGCCCCTCATTGTCTCCCAACCTTTCCTGCCTCTTGTGCCCTTCTTTGCACCTTTCCTAGGTGGTTTCAGGATCCTGCAGCAGTGATGTGTCATCAGGAGATGAGCTGCTCTCTTGGCTGTTTTTCAGCCTCAGTGGCATCATTAAAAGTTATTTGTCTCCATATTGACTTGTCCTTGTCTAGGAAGTGCTCAGACACTTTTGGGTTGGACCTGTGCTTTCTGCTCCAACCTTATTGCCCTGCCAGCCAGACTGCCATTTCACTGTGTCCCCTCTTTTATCCTGCAAGCCTTATCTGTTCCTGTTATTATTTTTTCTTTCATCATGCTTTGCCTGCATTTTCAGCAAGCTCCTTCATCTCCCTGCTGTGAGTCTGGCCTCGAACCCCCATTAACCCCTGCACCACTAACTCCCTCGTTGTTTGTCCCCCCATTGCTCAGAGCAGCCCTGGGGTGACCCCAGAGAGCAGATTTCTGAACATCCCAGAGCACACAGTCATGGCAGGTGCAGGCACCAGCAGAGAGAGCGCCGAGGACCCCCCTCGCCTTTGCCCGGCGGTGTCCCCAAACACGGGCACTCCACCTCAGAGGGCCAGCGAAGGTCTCCTCAGCTGAGAGAGACCAGCAGGGGTCATCAGCAGGAGCAGAAGACAGCCAGCCAGGGAAGGTCCAGGAGACATCCCAGCCTTGACCTGGAAAGAGAGACCGAGCACCATGCTTATGATCACAGCAATAGCTGGGAGCTGCGGGAGAGGAGGGCAGCTGGCAGGGAGAAGGAGAGGAGACCTCTCAGTCTCGACCTGGAATCGGAGCATGGACTCACAGAGGAAGCACGGCACAGCAGAAAGCCACCAAGGCAAGACAGACAAAAGCATCTTCCCCTCCTTGAGATGGAGCTGGAGGTGGAGCAGGAGGCTTGGCATCGGGGTGGCAGACAGCACCCTGAGAAACACAGATCTCACCATCAGGGCCACTCGTCACACAGGATGGCACGTGATGAGAAGCTCTATGATGCTGAATCTAGAGATGACCATAGGAGGGGTGAGGCAAGAGCCTACAAAAGGGCAGGACACAGGAGACACTCTCCCTCCCCTCATGCTGTGAGCCAGGGGAAGGCTGGAGACTGCCAGCGAGACCCAGGTAACCAAGTGATGGGGAGGGTGTGTGTGTGTGTGGGGATGGACCTTTGCGTGCCCCATACTGGCATACTGAGATACGTTTGGCTTCCTTGAAGATGCTTCTCTTCAGTATCTACCTGCAATGGGTACACAGGGAATCTTGCCTAGTTTTCTCCCTGATTTAGCAGGATTCTTATCCATTAGTGCTCTTGTTCTATGTTCTGATGTTCCATGGCATTGGAGAGGATGAGTAAGAAGGTATCGTTGGAAGTGGTGCCCTTGTTTTCTTAAACAAAAGGTTACCAAATTTCTCCCCCCCTCACCAAACAAACCACCACACTATTCCCAGAGAAAGACCCCCCAGAAAACTCCAACCAACACCCAGTTTTTGTTTTTGTGATACATTTTGTGCAGTGGCCTCCTTGTACAGGAGAAAACAGAAGTAATGAAACACTGAATGTTAGGTTGTGGTTGTATTTTGTGGAGTTGAAGCTCAGGGCTGTAAGTGAGGATACTTCGCTTAAGCACTAAAATACTGAGAAGTTTTCATCCACTTCTTATTGAAAACCCTTCTGGTAACTTAATTCACTTTGGGCAAAGTTCACTAGTGGCACTGGGCACCTAACTGGGTTCTATTTATAAGATTCTTGCCAACTTCTGTACAAGTGGAATTTTCTGGGAAATGTGTACCTGTGTAGTTCCTGCTCAACAAGCACTTGGGAATTGGAGTCTTTAAAGATCCAGATCCATCTTTCTATTTTCAAAGCCACAGTGGAAGTAGGGGTGACCTAGTGAAAGTAGGAGTTTAGAGACTTGGATCTATCTGTCAAAGTGAAAGGCAGCTTATGCTTCAAGCCATCTAACTGATCTTCACATGGATAAGGTGAGGAAGATAATGTGTTTATGTCTCTGGAGATACTGGGACAATTCTTCATAATACAAACACTTTCCTTAGGGAAATAGAAAGTGTTAATCAGGTTTAGCTTTAAAGTAACAGAACTCTATACTCAAAACAAGAACTGAACATTATATGAAATTCAAAAATGCTTACTTGTCTGTTTTCTCATTGAATTGTAAAATTCATGGGTCATTCCAAGGAAGAATTAGTCTGAAAACTCATGTGAGCCTGTCCCAGGTAACCCTTGAAGCCCATGCTGCTTCAGCAGTGTGTTCAGACTCTGCTGTGCTCCTATCAAATGTTGGGCTGCTCTCTGCTGCCCAGTTTTGCCACTGTATCTGTATCAATACAGAGTGGCAAATTACAATTCCTTTGTTAGCATTGCTGTCACCAAAGACTGCTTCAAGGGACATGGCCTGTTCTGCCGTGGAGCTGCATGTGTTATCTAAGACAGGGTGTGTCAGATACTGCTGTGTGCCTAGAGAAATCTCCCTAAGGTGTGTGCTGCACCTCAGCTAAAGGTGCTCTCACACCAGCAGTGTGGCAGGTGCACTATGGTGATCTCTGGTTGTCTTGAGTGGGGGGTTGGCAGGTGGCTGAGGAGATGGCAGGGATCTCCTTACCAAAGAATTTGGAGAATGGCTGAGTTGATTGTTTTCTCTCAACTCTGTAGGCACTAATTTGAGGGGGATGAAACAAGCCATGTACGATGGACTCCGAATGGAACAGGAGTTGTCTGATGCAGAGATTGCTCGGAAGCTGCAGGAGGAAGAGCTCCTGGTAAGTAGAGAGGGTGCACTGGTCAACTCAAAGGAACTAAGACAACCAGCATGGACAACGTTAATTTGTAAATCTTTAATATAGAAGAGTGGCTATAAGACCTAAGGTCTTGCTCCTGTGCATTCTGCTAATAACCTTTGTCTTCCATACACACGAATGTGGAGTGGCAGCTGGCTTCCGACTATTAAGCCTTATTTTTTTGAAATGAACACCCCAAAATTAAAGTACTGAAGCAGAATGATATTAAATGGATGTTTCCAGACAGGTGAGGATGGCATATAGTCAGTGTGAGCAGCTCAAAAGTGAAACAGGCTATTGCCCATCTTTGAGAGAGAAGGCAGCAGAGTGGGAAATGCATTGTGGTGTGGCCTGGCAGATACATGGGGGCAAAATTCATCTGCAAAGGTGAAATGGCAGATTGGAGCTGGGTTATGAGGTAAGTATTAGGGTAGCTAAGTATATTTGGAGAGGATGATGGTGTATTTGTATGGGCAACTACTTGCCCTGCCCAGTAGGTTAATGAGTATGATTAATTCAGAGATGTTAATTTTTTTGTCTCTGTTTTTCCTTCTCCACCTTTTTTCTTTCCCCTCCAGGCTAATGAAGCAGATCAGAAGGCAGCTCAAGTAGCCCAAGATGAGGTAAGCAACAAGTCAAATACTTATGGAATACCTTTACTTGCAGAAGCTGATAAACAGTCCTTGCTTCCTCTGACCCTCTAGTTGTTAATTTCTCTCCTTGTAGGGGAAGCTTGGGGCTCCAGTGGGATTTTCTCCCAAATGGGTTTTGTGTATATGCTCAGGCTGGCTAAGCAGGGAGTTGCACTGCCTGTTGCAACCATGACAAAGGCAGGAAGGTCATGGTTCTCTGAGAGCATTTCTTGTAACTGAGCCCCGTGGGAGACTATCCAAGATGCTGTGAGATGAACCATCAACCCCTTTAAGGAGAATGGATAAAGAGCAGAAAGGTTCTGCAAATGCAGTTCTGGTAAATCAGGGATCTATTGGACATGCTGCATGTCACCAGTCTTAATTTTGCCCTGTGCCTTGATTTCTGGTCACAGATGGATGGAATCCTGGATTTGCACCCTTCCCATTCAGCTGTCCATGGGAAAGGATTTGAATAACTCAAACCCACAAGAGCAGTAAAATTGTCTGACAGTCTGTGTTTCCTTTTTAGGAAATTGCTCGGCTCTTGATGGCTGAGGAGAAAAAGGCTTTAAGAAAAGGGAAAGAAAGAGAAAAGTCTTCCTTTGAAAAGAGGAGGCATGATCAAGACTGGAAGGTATGCCAGGCTTCAGGAGGCACCACAAATAAGGTGCTGTAACGTTATTCCCATTTCCAGAGGGAGGTGAGTGTGTATGGTGAGAGCAAAAGGTGGTGATGCATCTAAAGGGTCTTGCTGTTTGTTATTTAGCTGCTTCCCAAGCCTTTTGGAGCTGCCTCCTTGGTTAGATGCTTTTGGCTTCAGCCTCAAGCAAGTTAATCCTGGGCTCTGGACTTGGAGGATGGCACTGGATGTTACAGTACCTTGTGGCCTCCCTGAAGCACTGTCAGTCCCTGGTGCAGGACCGTCCCTTTGAAATCCTGACTGCAGCAATAAAAGCAGTAATTGGTTCTGTTTGTGTAAGGGCAATGCAGCTGCTTCAGTTGTCACTCTGCCTCATAACTGGCTGTGTAATGAAAGTCCTGAGTCTGTCGTGCCTGGTTTTTGTAGGAGTAACACCAGACAGGCTTGGCTGGCCAGCATGGAAGGGGATAAGAAACAGATTTTATGGTCAGCACTGCTAAGGTGCTAAAGGGGATATGGTGTTTAATCTTGGGGCCAGGTGGTGGCGCCTCTGGTGTTTCCAGCCTCCTTACTGAGTTTCAGTGGTTGCAGGAGCACAGCTGCCTGCAGCTGGTCCTTCCTGCTCAGCCCAGTCACTGTACCCAGATTCTGTTCAGCCCCAACTTCAGAACAGTCCCTTACTGCTGTCACACTTTAGCCCAAAAGCTGAGTTTGGCTCTGCAAGGCTGGGTTTTGTTTACTGAAAACGAGTAGTGATGCTGCCATTTGCATGTCTGTCTGTAGTTAATTTTGTGTGTAAACCAAGCACAAAGGACTGTGTGGAATTGTGGCAGTCCCAGTGTAGTGGCTGGTGTCTTGCAAGGCACACAGGCGAGCACATTTTCCTTCTTTCCCATCAGCCTGATGCAGGCGAGTCCACGCGCTCAAGGTCAAGAGAGGGGCCTGAAACTCATCGGCACAGAAGTGACAGGCCTTCAAGGTGAGCTTGAACTGTCTGGCAGGAATGGGGAATGCAGTTGGGAAGCTGAGTCTTAGCGAGGAGATGTGGGATGACCAGCCTGACCCACCCATAAGGGACTTGGTGGAAAGCAGGGCCATGGGGGGCACAGAGCTCATGAGGTGTTTGGTGACATGCGTCACTCGCTGTGTTTGTGGCACTTGTCCATCTTGGTCCCTGTGCCCGGTGCTCATGGAGATTGATGAGTTTGTGCAGTGACATTTCTTAAATGGCAGGGAAACTTTGAGAGGGTTAAACAATTTCTGGGGATGTGAAACCAAATGTCAACTCTGGGCAGGAAGGAGTAATCACCATGGCATTTGCACAGCTGCTCCCTTGGTCCTTGCTCCCAGTTAAGCCCTGTACACAGCTCCCACTGCTGCATGTGAACACCACCCTGCAAGCAAGAGCATTGTGCTTTGGGGTGTCTCATGTCAAATTGGGAGCATGCTGTAGCCCAGTGATGCTTCTGAATCCCTTGATACTCTGGCTCAATGCCCTTCATGAGGTACTGAACTCTGGAAGTGAACCCAGTGGCTTTGATTTCCATTCCAGAAAGGAACCTAGAAATTCTTATTGAACTTGCAAGAGAAACAACAACTGGAGTGTGCTGGTGGAGACTGAGAGAGATCATATTAAAATATTCTGGGGATAAAACTATGCAAGCATTAACCACTTTAAAATGCTGCCCTTTTGAGTGAAGTTTGCAGCAAACTTCATAATGGAAATTCTTTATTTCCTGGCAATTTAAACCATTATTAAATGAAAGAGGTCCATGACAAGCAGTAAATACTCTGCTTTTCTCACTGCAGAAACAGTAAAGAGCTGTGCTCAGAGGAGCTGTTCTGCAGGCAGAAGGTCTGGGCCAGGCAGGGTTTGCATCAAACTGACAGTAACAGACCAGACAGATGAGATGTTGCTCTTGCTACACCGTTGTGCCTTTGAGTTATTTCTCACCATTCCTTTTTCACTGCGCTTGGCAGGTCTCAGCCTCTCCCCGATGACTTTGAACACTCTCGCTATTACACGAGCCAGCCCAGCCCCTTGCGCCAGATCCCCAAACCTGAGCACTCTCCTAAAGGTAGGATCAACCCCAGGGCTGCCCAGCACTTAGGCTGTTGTCGGCTGTTTTCCTCACACAAAGAGCCTGCAGGGGACAGAGTGATTTAGAAGTGATGCACATAGAGAAGGGGAATAGGAACTAATGCCCCAGCAGGCAGGTGATGCTGGGCAGTGTTTGGGTTGGACTTGAGCACATTGCAGGCTGAGAGACTAAAAAACTGAACTGAGTTGCCTGGAATTTGTCAAGGTGCTGTCTGCATGTCCTCTGTGATCTCTTAATGATGAATGACTGTAAATCCAGGTAGCAAATGACAAAGAAATAACATGAAGACAACATTATGATGGATTTTAAGTGACTCACTACTCTCAAACAATCCAATATAAGACAGAACTTCACCTGTCTGGTGAGCAGATGGGATGACCAGACAGAAATTTATCCTGAGAGCAGGCTGGTTTTATTCCTGTAGCATCTCAGCACTGCTTTGTTGGTTTGTTTCCTGAAATCACTTGGCACAGAGCAGTGTGGGTAGGGTTGCCCCTGCAGTTGTTTTTAGTCTGAATGCCCATTGTCTGAGTTATCTGTAAAGCCTCTGGGGAAGGAAGGGGGTGGTCTGAGTTTAACTCAATCTCAGATTTTTTTTTTCCCACTCCACTAGTAAGACTTAAATGTGGACACTTCCCTTTCCAAAACTTGGGTTGGTAAACTTATGGTCTGTCTTCATCAAGCAAGCTGGAAAGGTGATGGCACTTTATAGGATCTGTTTGCTTTAGTGAGACTGTGCAATGGGGCTGCAGCACCATTCACACCCTAGAAGAAATGCCCGTGTCTGCCTGTCTTACAGATCTATCCTTCCTTTTGCTTGAGTCATGTAATATGTAGTTCCCATTCTGGCCTTTGACTTTACCAGTACCCTAGAAGTCAGACAGACAGACAAGAGGGCAGGACAGGTAAGATATGACTGCAGGTAGTAATTTTTTCACCAGGATCTAGCCTCACAGATTGTTTCCTTTCTGTTTTGTTTTCCAGGTTCCCGTAGGAAGCAGTAAACTGTGCTAGCCTTTGCTTTGGTACTGACTCTTCTGTAGCAAACATTACTGGAATTGCCAGGCAACTTTCTCGATTCCTGACCTATTGGGAGGCCCACCTTCCACTCCCAGGATCATCTCTTTAAGTGTCATCATATTAAGGAAAACTGTTTGTTTCAATTTCTTACTCATCTGTGATGACTTGAGCAGTGCAGTGTAATCTAGCTGCCACTGAGCTGTGCAGATCAACCAGCTGGCTCAACAGCTCCCTCATACATTCTTTTCTTTTTATTTTTTAAGTTTGGCTGGAGCTCTGACAAATAAGACAAATTGAGTTTCATGTACAATGGAGGAAAATTGAAGAAATTAGTTGAGTTATGGAAATGCAGCAGAACATCAGAAGTACAAGTCCTTTCTGCATTAGGATAACTAAGCAAAGAGAACTGGAAGAGGAACAGTTTCTTCCTGGGTTGGATAGGACAGCTGAGCCAACCTGACAGTCATATGAGCTTGCAGGAAGGAGAGAGCATTGTCAAACATATACCAGCAAAAGCCAAACCTTGAGTCTAGTGAGAGGCAGAAATTGCCTATGAATTATTTAATTGCTGTATTTCTTTCTAGGGTTTGCAACAATCTGAATAGAGGGTGTATAGGCATTTAGCTCCAGGATATAGGAAAGACAGTTTCAACTGAAATTAGACCTTGTGTTCATGACTTAGGATTTGCCAGGGAGTTCAAGAAGCTGTGAGTTGTGGTTTGGGAAGACTTATACAAACAGATCTATGTGTCTGAAGGGACCTCTGTGGTCACCTGCTTTGAGCTTCAGTGTGGCAGAAGCCAAGGAATTTAATTAAAGCCAAGTAGGATCTCCTGTAACTCCTAGCTCAGTTGCTGATGCACTTGAGTAGAGTAACTTGTTTCTGAACTTGGGTATGTCTTGTAAATATGGGGCTGATGGAGAGAGGGCGTTGAACATCATATTCAAAATCCACAGCTACAGGCAACCTGAGCCATACATGGAGTGCTGAACAGTCCACACAATGTCTGTGCTTTTCCTCTTCACTGCTCCATCCAGCACCCTCACTGCTCCATTCAAGCCAGGCAAGCTCCAATCAGGAATAAAAAAAAATCATTGCTCTCTGGGGCACAGCAGGGTCTGCAGGTTTGTTGTCTGTAAAGATTTTCCCATGCAGTGATTCCATCCTGGCTTGTTTTCCCTCCACTCTTTGAAAATAGTTTTTTTTTTTCTTGCACAAAAAAAGTAGCCTTGTCCTTGGTCTCCTCTCATTTAAATTTAGTCCTTTTAATAATATTTTGCCATTATTTCCAGGTGTGTTTTTAAACTGCAAAGCTGAACATCTGGACACTGTCTTGGAGTCTGTTCAGCCAGGGCAGGTTGATTATTCATAGGCCAGCCCAGTTCATGGCAGTGAGCTTGACTGCCTTGCCCCTGCAGCCCAACCTTAGTGCCAGCACTGAGTCTGTCTCACCACTCTCTCTGTAGTCTCCAGCAGCTGCAGTTCTGCCTCTGGCTTTGCATAGGAGGGGAGAACCTGTGCCTGGGGCATGGAAACATGGACTTGTGTCCTTGCCACTGATCTGCCTGGATGAGGGGCCTTGGCAGCTCTCTGGAGCTTTGTGGGGAGGGAACACTTCTAATAAATAGGAAGAGAGCTTGGTTGTCTGCTGTTCCTCTAGTGCACAACTCAAGCCCCGAGGCAGCTGTAAGGCTTTAACCTTGGCTATTGTCCTTGGTCAGGATAGTTACTGGGCCAAATCACTGGGAAGACAGGACAACCCCTTTTTCACATAAATTGCAGGGGCAATACCACATTAATGTGGTGGTACCACATCACAAGCCCATGTCTTGCCTTGACCAACAACTCAAGAGACTTCCATCTCCTACCCCCACTGGCCCATTGGCAGCAGTTCAGTACCTGTGAAGAACCACATAACTCCAATAGATCTCTGTTCCAGGGATGCCCTAACCAAAACCTCACCATGTAGGACTTTGTGTATGGGCAGAACCTGCATACCCTTGCTTCCAGACTGTGGCTTATCTGCCTGCATGGGCCCCTAAGTGACTTGCAAGGTCTTGCTTGCTGCTGTTTCTCAGGAAATATCCCAGTCAGCATTTAGATTTTATTGCCCTTGCCTTGTTCCCTCTTCTCATTCTGTCTCTGTCCATTCAGAAGTATTTATCTTGTTCAAAAGGATTCAGAAAAAAAACCCAACATATATGCTAACTTTTTTTCTTTCTGAGTTGATAATTTGGCCCAGTGTGGCAACCTCATCTACCAAGGTTTTATTTTGTAAGAATTTATTTTTGTATTTCATGTAACAGTCAAAATTTCTACTGCTGAAAATGCCTTTTTTTTTTTTTTCCCCGTGGGCTTTTTCCTTCCATTGCCATCAGAGAAATTATTGTGAAATGGATGCCTGGTGGGTTTATTAAGAATTAATACTTCCTACAAACACCCTAGTCCAGGCACTGCTGCTTGTACCACCTGGTGCAGTCATGAAAACCGGATGGAGAAAAGTCCTGCCAAATCAGAAAGAGGTTGAGCTTTGTACTGGCTGTGCTTGCAGAAAACTGGTGACTCTCTAAAAGGCAAGGGGAAATCACCAACTAGGAATTCAGCCCTCCATGGGCCTCTGTATCTGGCTGTGATGGACTTTCTTGCACTGCAGTTGGCTGGTGTAGCTTTTGTCTTAACCTAGTCAGAGAAGTCATGAAGACCCTGAGCCCTGTGACATTCAAAGAACCCATTAATTCAAGAGGGGTGCTTGGGAGTATCCAAGTTGTTGGTATCAATGATAGTGAGTAGAAATGTAAGGGAAAACTCTGGTAGGTTTAGTTTGGAAGCTGTGTGGAGTCTGAAGAACACCTCAGTGCCTCCTTTCTGGAGCTGTAGGATCTCCTTAGTGGCCAGTCAAGCTCTCTGGCCAAGACATCAAGAGATAAGAGCCCAGGAGAAGGATCCCAGGAGCAGTTGCTGCTTCCTAGGATGCCTTTGGGGGGTGCTGAATGCTTTATGATGGACTGTTTTGCTCTGTATACTCCCTTAGTTCTCATCCTTTTTTCTTTCTCCCTTCCTTTATTCATTTGCTGTCCCATGTAAGTGTTTCTCCTGTTTTATTACTCCATAGTGCTTGTGAAAAGGGGGTTCCTTAGATTTTGCTGGAAGGGGGAGAGAAATGCTAGGAATGGCAGCTGAGGAAAGCAGGTACTAAGTGGGATAACAGAGCAATTGTTCATCTTCTACATGTTGGGATCCTCATGCAGGTTAGACACAGGTTAGAGACGTCCTGTGTCAGAGATTTCAACTGGACTTGCATATTTAGTGACCACTTTTGAAAAGGGCCTCCATGCTCCTACTGAAGTCAACAAGAGTTAAGATCATGACTGAACAAGGAGCCACTTCCCTTGGGGCTCAGCATCCAGAGTTCTGCTGAGAGTCAAGGGGATGCAGCTTGTGCAGGTGAGATGCAAAATCAGCACCTTGTACATGTGTTCCTGGAAAGTGGCACGATGAAGCTGATCTTTAAAAAAAAACAACAAAAAACAGAGCAATATTTCTTTCCTATGACAGAAAAATGTTTAAGTATCTTCATTTTTTTGTTTACTCTTGCCAAGTTTCACTAGCTTTGCCTATGGGTTTGCTCTGGATTTACTAGCATGTTGGAGCCCTTACTGAGCCCCTGCCCAGGTCATTCAGGTCCTGCATCCCTTTCTGACTCTGCATTAACAAGGCATCCAGTACTACGTGGAAAATTCATCTTGAAATCCTGGCACTTCCTAACCTTCCTAGTGGGCTCACCTCAGCAGCAAGAGCTCTCACCACCTCCTCCCCTCCATCCAAAGCACAATGGTCTGCAGAAGAGAGGTCGGTGACCTGGAGGGATCGTGCCTTACATGCAGGGATACTCGATGTCTTCAGCAGGCTGACCTGAGTCACCTTGCTATGAAACACTGTCTTAATATGGACCGTACAGCTTCCTACAGCAAGAAGCAGTTGTCACAGGGATAGATCCAGCAGGTTGATTTCATCTTTTTTTTAAAGAACTTCATGGGTTTGAACTTGGTGGGGTGTGGAAATACCAGCTCTTAAGGAATAGATGAATTCTCTTTCTCATCATTGAATTTCTCCTCTTGGGGAAGAAGGATAGAAGTTACAGATGCTGCAGTCTGCTTCTCTCTCTGTAAAAGGGATCTTGTATGTACAGTATTTTTGTATCTCTGCATTCCCACCTATCAGGATTTGAATCAGGATTGATAACATTCTCTACTTATGGAAAAAAGTGGGTTATTTTTACAGTGCTAGACATCTGTGTGTTTATTTTGTGCCAAATTACAGCCACTGTTACATTCTAGTGTTTTCAGTTTATTGCTGTTCATCAATGTGTATATTATATATTTTTATTATCAAGGTTTTTATTTTAATTCATATTATCCTGTATGCAAACTAACTGTGGATTGCTAATTTATATATATATATATAAAGGGGAGCACTTGGAGACAGTGTGAGGATTCCCCTACTTAGTTTACACTCTCGTAATTGAGCACAGCCAGTCCACGAAACTCACTGCTTCCTTCACAGAGCAATCTCCTGTGTGTTTGTCCCCTGAGCAGATTGCTCCTGCTGTCCCTCCTGGCAGCACTGATGCTGCAGGACTGTGTGGGATGCAATAGGAGCTGGAGCACAACTCCAAGCACAGCCTGACAGGTGCCTGAGCTCGGTACTGTCCTGTGCCAGGGCGGGTGCTGCAGCAGGAATGCTCAGCAGGGTGGTGATGTCTGAGGTTTGCTCTTTATCTGTCCCCAGCCAGTGGACAGTTGGTTTTGCCACACTCTCCCAAGGTGTTCAGGGCTTAGTTTTGCAGTTGCTTTGGGAGATGAGTGTGGGGCATAGTCCCTTGCATGGAGCGCACCACAGGCAGCTTGTCTGTCTTCTTTTTGCTGCAGAGGTCCCAGTTTGCTGCACTCCAGCACATTTGCAGCACTGCTGGGGAGGTACTGGCTGTGCTGCACACAGGTGCCACTGGGACACGCAGTGGGACATGGGTTTCATGTTCAGGAGCTGCCTAAGCCTCAGCTTCTGGGCTGGAGATAGTATCAGCCACCTCCTCCCCATCAGTAGCATAGGGAAAGGCTTAGCTGGGAGTTTGGGCTCTTCAGGAGCGTCCCAGAGAGGACAGTGGCACACACAAATGAGTATTTTCTACTTCATGGTAAACAAATTCCACTGTATCAGTGTTCACTCTAAGTAGACTCCATGGTCTGTCTCCAGCTGCATCTGTGCACTGCAATATAGTTAATTGCCTCAGATAAATAACTGCAGTTGTATCATTTAGCTCTTCAGGGTAAACTTTCAGCCTGTTGAATCTGTATATTAGCCATGCAATGAGGTGGATTAGTCAGAAGGCTTAAATTCCTCAGAGCTGCAAGTGTATCCTGCATTGTAACAGCTAATCCTTAAATATGAATTGCACACTGACAATAATCTGTCTATGCAAGCCTACTTTGGTTTTATTTTGACTGTTCACTCTATAATTTTACCAGGTTTGGCATAGAACTTCTGAATGATGTTTAACCAAAGTATCATGTCTGTGTGTGTGTGTTTATAGCATGTTTTGCTTCATACTCTTCAATTGTCATCGAATGTAAAGGGAACATTGCCTTGCCCCATTTTGTTCAATAAACCGCTGAATTTTGTTATTCACCACTTCCTTCTGTCCCTCCGTGTGCTTTTCTGAAAACCTAAGTGGGTTACACAAGAGCAGGGGAAAATAAGACTTTGATCCACCCTTTGTTCCTGAAACTTAGCTGCTTCTATCAACAATTATGTTCTTCCGCTGTAATAGATGTAGCAAAC